AAAGTTCTATTGGACATCTCTGGTGTGCATTGTTTACATATAATAATTGTTTGTGTGGTTTTCTAACATTTTTCAATTTATTCATTTTAAAAATTCTTCATTGTTTAAAGCAGTGGTTGGCAAACTCATTAGTCAACAGTACAACAATTGAAACTTCTTTTGAGAGCTGAAAGCCAACTTCTGCGCATGGGCCACGAAGTTTCAATTGCACTGTACATACGCGCCCACACGTGGTATTTTGTGGAAGAGCCACACTCAAGAACCAGAGCCGCATGTGGCTCACAAGCCGCAATTTGCTGACCACTGGTTTAAACTATTATATATGCCTCCTTTTTCCCCCTTTGACCTGGCATTCCCACCACCCAGCACATGTCCTCACTTACTCTCTGTGCCCATGGGTTATGCTTATATTTGCACACATACAAATCAGTTGGTATATCTCTTACCCACTGCCCTCCACCCCAGCCTTCCCTCTAGAGTTGGACTGTTTGATGCTTCTATGTCTCTGTATCTATTTATATTCAACAGTTTATGTAATTCGTTTTATTCCACAAATGAGTGAGATCATGTGATATTTATCTTACTCCAACTGACTTATTTTGCTCAGCGTAATGTTCTTTAGGTCTATCCATGCTGTTGAAAATTATAAAAGTTCCTTCATTTTTTATAGCGGCACTAGAAGCCCATTGCACAAAATTTATGCATGGGGTGGAGGGTGTGTCCCTCAGCCTAGCCTGCACCCTCTCCAATCTGGGACACCTTGAGGGATGTCTGACTGCATGTTTGGGCCCAATCCCGTGGCTCCCAACTGATCACCTACCTGCCTGTCTGATTGATCTTAACTGCTTCTGCCGGCCAACCTGATTTGCCCATAAGCACTCCCCTGCCAGCCTGATCATTGTGTAACTGCTCTCATGCCAGCCCGATTGCCCCTACCTGCCCTCCTCTGCCAGCTAGGTCACCCCTAACTGTCCTACCCTGCAGGCCTGGTTGCCCCTAACTGTCCTCCCTGAAGGCCTGGTCACTCCAACTTCCCTCATTTGTGGGCCTGGTTACCACCAACTACCCTCCCTTGCAAGCCCAGTTACCCCAACTGCCCTCCCCTGCTGACCTGGTCATCCCTAACTGCTCTCCCCTGCTGGTCTGGTTCCCCCCAACTGCCCTCCCTTGTAGGCCTGGGCCTCCAAACTGCCCTCCCCTGCTGGCCTGATCACCCACAATGGCTCTCCCCTGCTGGCCATTTTGTGGCAGCCATCTTGTGTCAAACTGGGGATTGCCATTTGTGTGTTAAAGTGGCAATCAATTTGCATATTCCTCTTTTATTAGATAAAGAATAGTATTCCATTGTGTAGATGTACCACTGTTTCTTAATCCACTCATCTGCTGATGGGCAATTAGGCTGTTTCTAAATCTTAACTATTGAAAATTGTGCTGCTATGAACATAGGAGTAAATATATCCCTTCTGATTGGTGTTTCTAGTTTCTTGGGATATATTCCTAGAAGTAGAATCACTGGGTCAAATGGGCATTTCAATTTTAATTTTTTGAGGAAACTCCATACTGTTTCCCATAGTGGCTGCACCAGTCTGCATTCCCACCAGCAGTGCATTAGAGTTCCTTTTTTCCCCCCGAATCCCCACCTGCACTTGTGATTTATTGATTTGTTGATGATAGCCATTTTAACAAGTATGAGATGGTATCTCATTGTGGTTTTGATTTTCATCTCTCAGATAATTGTGCCTTTGAGTATGTTTTCATATCTCTCTTGACTATCCTTATATCCTCTTTCAAAAAGTATTTAGCCGAAACCGGTTTGGCTCAGTGGATAGAGCATTGGCCTGTGGACTGAAGTGTCCCAGGTTCGATTCTGGTCAAGGACATGTACCTTGGTTTTGGGCACATCCCTAGTAGGGGGTGTGCAGAAGGCAGCTGGTCGATGTCTCTCTCTCATCAATGTTCCTAATTCTCTCTCTCTCTCCCTTCCTTTCTGTAAAAAATCAATAAAAAATATTTTAAAAAAAGTATCTATTGAGGTCCATTGCCCACCCTTCAGGGCAAACCAGCTGTCCCCCAATCATGCACCAGGCCTCTATCCTCTCTCATAAAAGAGTAATATGCAGATTGACCATCACTCCAACACACAAAGATGGCTGCCCTCATGTGGTCAAAGATCCTGCCCCCATATGGACATAAGATGGCCACCACAAGATAGTCAGCAGGGGAGGGTAGTTGGGAGGGACCAGGCCTGCAAAGGAGGGCAGTTGGGGGCAATCAAGCCTTCAGGAGAGAGCAGTTAGGGGTGACCAGGCTGGCAGAGGAGAGAAGCTGGGGGTGACCGGGCCTTCAGGGAAGGGCACTTAGGAGCAAACAGGCTGGCAGATGAGCAGTTAGGCATCAACCGGCATGGCAAGGGAGTGGTTAGGGGGTGATCAGGCTGGCAGGCAGAAGCGGTTAGGGGCAATCAGGAAGGCAGGCTGACGAGCATTTGGGAGCCAACAGTCCTGGATTGTGAGAGAGATGTCCAACTGCCCATTTAGGGATCAGGCCTAAATGGGCAGTTGGACATCCCTTGAGGGATCCCAGATTGGAGAGGGTACAGGCTGAGCTGAGGGACACCCCACCATGCATGAATTATGTGCACCGGGTCTCTAGTTATATATAATAAAGAATGCTAATATCAGGGAAGATCTGTGAACTTAGCGAATCAATATTTTCCAATCATCAATACATGATATTAAATAATTGTTCAGAAAGCCAGAAAGACCATTGGATTTTAATTAATAGACTGAATGTTCAGTAATAAGAATTCAGATTCCACATTGTAATGAATCTCTAAAAATATACCACTCATTGATTATTTGTATAATATCAAAATACTTTTTAATTTTTTAAATTGTTTTCAGAGAATAAGGGAAAGAGAGTTAGAAACATCAATGATGAGAGAGAATCATTGATCAGCGGCCTCCTACACACCCCTTACTGAGGACTGAGCCTGCAACCTGGGCATGTGCCTTTATCTTGATTAATTATTTTCTGAGAGGAACTATATGGCATCACTTAATCAGCACATCTGAAGATTTAATATGTATGTGTTATTAACTTTAATTATTTGTGGTAATTTTCTATCACATAGCTTCATTTTATTAACACTTGACCCTTTTCACTGTATACTTTTAATATCCCAAAAAACATTCCTAGCAAATTCAGCTTCATTTTGACTGTTCACTGATTTCAAAGAAATGATAAAAGCCATCTCTGCTACTTTTCTAGGTAAGTGAAACTATTTGTCATAATTGTGTGCTGAATGTATGAACCTAATACAGAAATGCAGAGAGATGCATTACTAGTATTTTGTGATGAAATGATGCAAGCTTTGCAATTTGTTTATTTATTTTTTCCTCATGATGTTTAATAGCTTGGTGATCCAATTCATGTTTGCTCAGGTCTGTATTTTTGCCTATCTAATTGATATTTTAAAAATCAAGTTAAGCAAATGGAAGATTGATGCATTACCAATGTATTTTAATTTAATTTTACTTTAATATTAAAATATTATGAAATAATTTATTATATAAAGAATAATTTTATAGTTTCTATTAAGATGTAAATTATACCCTCAAAGAAATATTTTTCTACTACTTTTTGAGTATTTTATTGTGATAATTTATTACTTTTCTTTAAAAAAATATATATATATTATCGGATTTTTACAGAGGATAGGAAAGGGATAAAAAATTAGAAACATCAATGAGAGAGAAAGATGAAAGAGAAACATTGATAAGCTGCCTCCTGCCACGCCCTACTAGGGATGGGCCCCAAACTAAGGTACTTTCCCTTGACCAAAATCCAGCCTGGGATCCTTGAGTCCACAGGCTAATGCTCTATCCAAACTGGTCAAGGGAAATTATTATTTTTTAAAACAGAAAATGTAGAATACAAAGAAATAGAAAAATAATTAATTTAATCAGCAATCATGTATAAAACTAGACATTTAAGTAAAAAAAGTCTCTTATCTTAAAAATACGGTTAAAACTAGATTACAATAGTGAAATTATTACATATAATTTTTACAGGATAGTGTTTAGTAATTGTATTTTTATAAAAGAAAATAATATAAAAATGATTTCTCTACCCTACATTTTTTACTCATTGCATAGCTAAAAGCCATTGTAATTAATTGAAATAATTTGATATTTCTGCTTTGCACAAAATAGATTTAAACATTGGGCCCTATCCAGATGATAAGAAACTGCCCATTCTCATATTCTTTGCCTGTCTGTTTTATGATTTGAATTTGAATTAGTTAAATATTTTTGAGATGAATATTGCATACAATAAAATGATCCTTCTAGGCCAAACCAACTAGATTAGTTTCAGCCAGGGGAAAGTTGGCAAAATAATATTGCTATTGTTGCCTCGTGCTTTCCTATCTGCTGTTTTTATTTTTATATCAGTCAAAGTACATTCCATACCAGAGCTTTTTAAAAAATAAAAATCATGCCTCCAGCAAAAATACACTTTGTGTACTTTAGCACCAAGCAAAATATTCTACCAATAAAATTTGATGTTTGTGTTCAGCTGTTAAAAGGGCTCATTATTCAGAGTGCATTAGAAAATGCATAAGTCAAATCAGGCGAAATCAAAACTGCATTTAAATGAAATGTATTTCATCTTCACATACTAATATTTATTGAATTAACATGTCAAACTTAAATTAATTTAATGACCAAAGTTGGTATGCTATTCTGATACATATTTGTTATATTTTAAATGCCTATATATTTATTACCATTTTAAGTGTCTTATGTAATTATGTTAATTAAAGATGCAATTAAATTGTTGTTAAAATATAGTTATATAGCATGTTTTATATATCTCAAAACCAATAATCATAAAAACACCAATATTTTATCAGTTGACCTAGTAAAGCTGTAACTTTATTTGATATAGTAGAGACCAGGAGAGTTTCTTCCTAAAGATGCTATCTGTGAATTCTAATTACAGATTTTATGTTATCAGCCAAATCCTTTATTTGATTAGTATTTTTTGACAACAGCCTCATCAGACAAGCATAAGTACCTGCAATTAGTCATTGAAAATTTAAGACCAGAGTTTGAGAAATTTATTTATGGATGTAACCCATATAAAAAGTTCACAGTAAAAAGACTTGCCTAATAACAAAATCTGTGGCTTTTTAAATATGACTTTATATTCTAGTAAAAAATTTTACAATCATTTGATAAGCAGTGGCATTAAATGTGTAATATTACTTTGAAAATGTAAGGCTTGCTACCTTTTCAATGGCAAAATCACATGCCATTCATCTGGCAAATACAACAGTGAGGGTTGCCATCTGCTAGGTCTGCCATAGCTGAGTACAATAGGCAGGCGGCTTAAACCACTGAAATGATTTCCTTACAGTTCTGGAGGCTACAAGTCCAAGATCAAGGTGTCAGCAAGGTTGTTCTTTTGTGAAGGCCTATCTTTGTGGCTTGTAAACGGCCATCTTTTCTCTGTGTCTTCACCATAAGCTTATCTATATCCTAATCTTCTTATATATAAGAACACCATACATATTGAATTAGGACCATTATAATCTCCTCTTTTAAGCTAAAATATCCCTCCAAAGACCCTAATTTAAAATATAGTTATATTCCGAAATATGGAGGATTAAGACTCCAACATATGAATTTTGGGGGTACACAATTCTGCTCCTGGACTCTGACTTTTGTTTTCTACATTGTATTTGCTGTACTGTATGGATCAAGTATAATGAAAAATTATTATACTGCAATCTGAAAAATATATTTTAAAAACGAATTAAGAGGCTGGAGAATTGATTGCAACTTAAACTTATGGTACTTTAAATGACAGGGGTGGGAAATATTAACACACACACGTAATAAGTCCATATACACATAGAAAGTCATTTTGTGCCATTTAATATAAGGAAAAACATTAAAACACCTCAAGAATGTCTATAATATCATTATATTTTTATAGAAGGTAATAACATAATTAGAATAGTAAAATAGGGTTAATAAGAAAAAAATGAAAAAGACCAATTATTAAAGGACACATAATATTTAATATATAAAATTAGACTACATTTGTTGTAAGACTAGAGGCCCAGTGCACTGGGATGGGTGTGGGTGGAGGGCCCTCAGTCCAGCCTGCACCCTCTCCCAGTCTGGGACTCCTTGGGGATGTCTGCTTGCCAGGGGGATCAGGCCTAAGCCAGCAATCAGACATCCCTCTCACAGCCTGGGGTTCTCGCAGTCCCAACCCTTCACTGTACTGCCCACCTGCTGTGGAGGCAGGGGAGGTTTTTGCCACCGCTGATATGCTCCCAGCCTTGAACCCACTTCTTGCTGATCAGTGCTCCCCCAGTGGGAGCACACTGACCCCCTGGGGGCATCTCCTGCATTGAGCGTCTGCCCCCTGGTGGTCAGTGTGCATTATATTGACCTGTAGTTTTGCAGTTCAGTCAATTTGCATATTAGGGTTTTATTATTTATTGAAAGATGGTTAAGGTTTAATATGCATATAGATTCATTTTTATGTTAAAATGTTTTTCTCTTCAATATAGCTACTAACTGGGTTATAACATTATTTTTTCAAGCTAGATTGACTTGCTAATATTTTAGGAAGTTTTAGCATCTATTACATAAGTAAGATTGGTCCTCTTCAGAGTCCTTTTATGGTTCCATAATCTCATATCAAGTGTCCAGTATCAGTAGTGGTTCAGCCAAGTGCCTCACCATCTGGGATTGGCTGGCTGTTGGCAGAGGTGCATTGATTCTCCTTTAAATGGTCTCGTTTTCCAGCAGGCTAGACTTGTTCACATGGAATTGGTAGAGTTCCACGTGAGAGAACAAAAGCACACATCTATTGTGTCCCAGCTTGGAACTAGCCTATCATTTCTACTAGATTTTATTGGCTGAAGCAAACCACAGAGAGAGATTCAGTTCAGGGAGTTAGAAAATAGCTTCCATCCCTTACTGGGAAGAACTGGAAAATCATATTGCAAAGGGCACGGATACAAAGAGGGATGAAGAACTCTGATTATTTCAGCAATTAATCTAGTATTAAATTTTAATATTTAAAATTGTGTTTATATTTATCTACAGTTTGACCAATTCTTTTCTTAAATTTCCTTCCCCTCTTTTTATTTATTTATTTATTTATTTATTTATTTGTTTGTTTGTGTACATTGGCTTCTAAAGCACAGTTTGTTTGTTTTTATTGATTAAGGTATTACATATGTGTACTTATCCTCCCATTTCCCCCACACCCCTCCATTCATGCCCTCACCTCCCTGATGCTTGTATCCCTTGGTTAGACTCATATGTATGCATACAGGTCTGTTGGTTGGTCTCCCCTCCTCCTCCCCCCGCCCACCTTCCCTCTGAGGTTTGATAGTCTGATCAATGTTTCTCTGTCTCTGGATCTCTTTTTGTTCATCAGTTTATGCTATTCATTGCTTTACACAAATGAGTGAGAGCATGTGATATTTATCTTTCTCTGACTGGCTTTTTTTCTCTTACCATATGCTCTCTAGTTCCATCCATGCTGTTACAAATGATAAGAAATCTTTCTTTTTTACCACAGTGTAGTATTCCATTGTGTAGGTGTACCACAGTTTTTTTAATCCATTCATATGGTGATGGGCACTTAGGCTGTTTCCAAACCTTAGCTATGGTGAACTATGCCGCTATGAACATAGGGGTGCATATATTCTTTCTGATTGGTGTTTCTAGTTTCTTGGGATATATTCCTAGAAGTGGGATCACAGGGTCAAATGGGAATTCTATTTTTAGTTTTGTGAGGAAATGCCATACTGTTCTTCACAGTGGCTGCACCAGTCTGCATTCCCACCAGCAGTTCACAAGGGTTCCTTTTTCTCCACATCCTCACCAGCACTTACGATTTGTTGATTTGTTGATGATAGCCATTCTGACAGGTGTGAGATGGTACCTCATTGTTGTTTTGATTTTCATCTCTCAAATGATTAGTGTCTTTGAGCAGGTTTTGATATGTCTCTTGGCCTTCCTTATGTCCTCTTTCAAAAAGTACCTATTTAGGCCCATTGCCCATTTTGGGTTATTTATCTTCCTTTTATTAAGTTGTTTGAGTTCCCTGAAAATGTTGGTGATAACATTGGCAAATATGTCCTCCCATACAGTAGGCTTTCTTGTTGTTTTGTTAATGACTTATTTTGCTGTACAAAAGCTTTTTATTTTTACGTAGTCCCATTTGTTTATTTTCTTTTTAGTTTCCATTGTTCTAGGAGCTGTATGGTTGAAGATATTGCTTTGGCATATGTCTGAAACTTAACTAAGGAAGTAAAAGATCTGTACTTGGAAAACTACAGGACACTAAAAAAAGAGATAGAGGAAGACATAAATAGATGGAAGAACATACCATGTTCATGGATTGGTAGAATCAATGTCATTAAAATGCCCATGCTACCCAAAGCATTCTATAAATTCAATGCACTCCCCATTAAAATACCAAAGGCATATTTCACAGACCTAGAACTAACCCTCCAAAAGTTCATCTGGAATAAAAAAGGCCCCAAATAGCTGCAGCAATCCTGAGAAAGAAGAACAAAGTAGGAGGGATCTCAATACCAAATATCAAGCTGTATTACAAAGCCACTATTCTCAAAACTGCCCCGTACTGGCACAAGAACAGACATATAGATCAATTGGAATAGAATAGAGAACCCAAAAATTGACCCAAACCACTATGCTCAATTAACATTTGACAAAGGAAGCAAGAACATATTATACAATGGAGTCAAGACAATCTCTTTAATAAGTAGTGTTGGGAAAATTGGACAGATACATGCAAAAAAAATAAATAAAAGTAGACCACGAACTTACACCATATACAAAAATAAACTCAAACTGGATAAAAGACTTAAACATAGGATGGGAAACCTTAAAAATACTAGAGGAATCCATAGGCAGTGAAATCCCCTTCCCCTCATGTAACCACCATTCTGTTGCCTGTGTCTGAGTTTGTTGATTTCTGCTTTATAATCCCACATATAAATGAAATTATATGATTCTTGTTCTTTTTCATCTACTTAATTCAGCTTAGCATGATAGTCTCAAGATCCATCTGTGTTGTCACAAATGGCAAAATGTTATCCTTTATTATGGCTGAGTAGTATTCCATTATATATATAGCATCTTTTTATTCAATTATCTATTGAAGGATACTTTGGTTGTTTTCATGTCTTGGTTACCATGTATAATTTTGCAATGAACATAGGGGTACATATATATTTACAAATAAATGTTATCAAATATTTCAGGTAGATACACAGAAGAGGGATTGCTGGATTATATGGTGGCTGTATTCTTAAATTTTTTAAGAATCTCTAAAATGTTTCCATACTGAGTATACCAATATACATTACCACCAGCAGTATGGAGGATTTCTTTTTCTACAAAACTTTTCCAACTTGTTATATCTTGTCTTATTGATAATAGCCATTCAAACAGGTATGAAGTGGTATCTCATTGTAGTTTTGATTTGCATTTTCCTTATACCTAGTGAAGTTAAGCATATATTTATATATCTATTGACCATTTGTATGTATTCTTTGAAGAAGTGTCTGTTCAGATCCTCTTCTGTGCTCATGAATTGGAAAAATAAACATAGATAAAATGGCCATATTACATAAGGCAACTTATATATTGAATTCAATCCCCATAAATATCATAATGCCATTTTTCAAAGAAATAGAACAAAACCCATCACATTTATATAGAAACATAAATGACCCTGAATAGCCAAAGCAATCCTGAGGAAAAAGAACAAACCTGAAAACTTTATATTCTCTGACTTCAAATTATACTACAAAGCTACAATAATCAAAACTAGTATTGGCAGTAAAACAGATACACAAGTCAGATCAGCCTTTCAATCCCAGAAGTCCCATAACCCTGATCACTGCAGTGCTGGTTTTACTCTTTGCTTTTAAAGCTGCTCTTAATGATCCCTATCCTTTTGCTCCTTCCCTGCTTTCATCTATTGTATAAGTGTATTTGTGTGTGTGTAGGAGTTTAACCCTAGATATTTAGATTACTTTCTAGTGAATCCAATGATGCAATAAATTATATTTGTTGTATTTTGTCAAAGGTGCAGTGGATTTTACAAGGAGGGCTCTTTAAGAAATCTGGTCTACTGTCTGTTATAATATGAGAATAATCATACAAGAAGATTGTTGTTCACAACTGTTATATGCAAAACAATATTTAAAATGATATAATTTTCAGTAAATTTAATTTATATTATTTGTTTAATTCATAAATCTTCCAAACCAATTAATAATGTTTAATAATTTGTAGTTATTTTTAATGATTATATCTGTGTTCTGAATTGAATGACAAAATTTTAGATATTACTGGGGATGTAAGTGAATCAATAATTTGTGTAAAAATAATTTTGGGATCAATGTGGGGGAAGCAGTGAGGCCTGATAATATAGATATAAGTCAGACAAATGAGTTAAAAGCCATGTCTTTTGAGCTAGTTAAATTCAGTAAACTTCAAATACCTCTTATTTAATAGTGATAATAATTACAACATTTTAAGTACTATTTAAAAGATTAATTGAAATGCTGAAGCAAATTTGAAACATGGCATATCTCAAATGTTCAATAAATAATATTCCCTATTTGATAAATAGTTATTAAACCCCTATGTGCTTGAGATTACTTTGCTATTTTTGGGGGGTAAGTTATAGCTTCAAAGAATTTCAGATTCTTTAAGTTTTTGAATTCTCATTGTGAAGACAGTAGAAAGCTACATAAAATTAATTCATAATAACTTAATGCAGAGTCCACTTTTAAAAGTACACCGAAGTTGAGGATTTCTAATAAAGTAGAAAGGAAGAATAAGAAAAGATCTTCCTGAATCTTCTTTTTGTTTAAGTAAGGAGTAAAGATGGTATTCAGATTTTGATTAAAAAAGAAACAAGGTATCAATGTTTCCTTTTATTGCTATAGACTCAGCAATTTTTTATGATTCTCTCCATATCAAATATTAGAAGATTATGACATCTGAATTAAAAATTCAATTACTTGCTATTTAAACAGATGTTTGCTATTGAAAGGATTCTGAAAATGTCTTAACACTCTATAAATTATATTTCTCATGAAAAAAATAACAAAATTGTAATTTACTAAATATTATATCTCTTAAATATAGCTCTGGATAAAATAAGTTAATTTTGTAAATCACAACTATGTTATCAAGAATTATCTAAATTTGTAATCCTATAAATATAAAATCTGTTTTAATTTAATTTTACAATGATGTAAGCAAATGAATTCTGTTCAACTTTATTTACTTGTCAAAAATTGCTTTGGGCAAAATTTTCTAGTAAAAAGGAAGAAATAAGATGGAAAGCATTAATGAGCCAAAACAAAACTTCCAAGTAAAAGAGAGCCTATGGGTCTCCTCATTTCTATTTTAAAATAGAATATATTGTATCAGGGGAACTGTAGCAGAATTATAAGGCAAAAAATATCGATAGTTTCTGGAGGCTTGGTGGGAGGTATTCATTTGGATTTTAACTGGAATAAGAAGGATTTAGATTTCCACAAAGCCCATATTATCACCCATCTTTCAGTTTTAGAGTGCAGTTCAATTTCATGTGCTCTGCTAAGTTCATTACCTTCATATAACCTCAGGTTTTATTCTGTGTTTTTAAAGATGCATATAAAATCTTTTAGTAAGTGTGCAATAACTAATAAACATTCTTTCTTTGAACATGATTGGTAAATGCATGCATGCTGGTGGTGCTGCCGGTGGTGACAGGGGTGGGTAGTACAAAGGAGTAGTAAGACAGTCTCATTTGGGAAGAAAGAAATTCTCCTATGTTGTTACTTTTGCCTTATCTCTTGTACTTTATGTTTTTTATTTGTGCTAATACTACCCTAGATGATACCTTTCTTCAGAGTAAAAGTGCCAAAAAATATAATTAAATAAATTGTTATTTTTATCTGTATTGAGTCATTTGTTTGAAACAGAGATGCAGTAAGAAGAGTGAGTGAGAAACAATTATATAAAGAGGGAGAGAAAGGAATATTATAATGTAGGAATTAGCAATACTTCCTTTTAATAGCATTCTTGAGATATAATTTATGTATCATAAATTTATTATTTTAAGTATACATTTGAATGTTTGTTAGTATATTTTTAGTGTTGTGTGACCAACATAATGCTCTAACTTTACTTCCCTCATCCTCTGAAGAAACTTCATGTCCATTAGAAGAATTTGGTAATTGCACAATTATAAAATTAATAAACAATGTCGACAACATTTCTCTATAATAATATTTATTTAAAGTAATGGAACACATGATAATATTTGCAAGAACAAAGAAAATTATAAATTAGCTATGGGTAAAATTAAACAGAAGTGTGTAAAATGTATGTGAAGAAAACCTGAATTATGACTCATAGTCATAAAAAAAAAGAATGAAACAAGCACCTTAAAAAAGTAGCATAAATTATCAATCTAAAAAAATGAAAACCATGTGCTATTCATAGATAATTGATAGGTTTATCAAAAGAGAAGAGTAGAGGGTGTGGAAATAGACTAAAGTCATACAGAAATTTACTATATTATAAAGGCAGCCATGTTTATTGTTCTGAAAAAAGATTGTTCAATAAATAATGTTGATATTAAAAATGTTGATATCTGAAACACTAATTTAATGTTGATCTTACCTTTTATGCAAAGAATTTCCAGATAAAATCAAAACCCTAAAATTTCTAGGGAACATGATGGAGGAAATCCCCCATAATTTTAAAGTAATATATAAAATCTGAAAACTTTATATATTTAAATTTCTACTCATTTAAAATAAGAACATAATGCATCTCAAATCCTAATTCTGTTTAGTATATATGATCATCAAAAGGATAATTTATTTATATATTAGGTGCTGTTAAATTGATTATGAAAAAAGCTCATTAAGTCTTAGTTGGTTTTGGCTTAGTGGATAGAGCATTGACCTTCAAACTGAAGGGTCCCAGGTTTGATTCCAGTCAAGGGCACATGCCTGGGTTTTGGGGTCCATCTCCAGTAAGGTTCGTGCAGAAGGCAGCCAATCCATGATTCTCTCTCATCATTGATGTTTCTATCTCTCCCTCTCAATTATATATATTTCATTAAAAAAGCAAAGAAAACACATGAATAGACAATTTAAAATAAAATAATATAAATAGGAAACTATTCTTAAATTCATTGAAAATTTGAGATTTGAAAATTAAGAGCAAATGTATTTGAAAAATTTCAATTATCATCTCTAATATATTATATATGTAGATGATTATTTTAGACCACATCAGTGAAAATCATGGTTTTCTCTTAATATAGTGATACATTGTATTTTTCTGAATCTAACTTCCACTTTTTAGATACTTGAGATGGTCAGATTTATTCCTCAACTTTGTTAGACAACATTCTCCAGTTCTTCAATCAAACTCTAATGTAGGTGTTGTGAGGATATTCTGCAGATGTGATTGAAGTCCATATTTGGTTAACTTTAAGTAAGGCTGAGGCTTCCTTCCCTGAGGAAAAATACATTCCTGACGGTCGATTGAAGTTTCATCCTGTGCTGAGGAGTTCCAGTTTGCCCTATCACAGAGTCTGCCCTAAAGATTTTGTACTAGCCTACACAATTATCCCCAGTGGCATAACCCAAATCCTTTCAAAAATGCTGTGTGTGTGTGTGTGTGTCCTACTAGTTCTACTGTATTGCACTGATTGAACCCTGACTAATATGCTTGTATTCAATTGGTATAGCTGATGTTGCTCACAGGCAACCAGATTCGTTCACATAGTAGAGGGTTTTGTTCTTGAGCTGTGTTCCAGGTGGGTCTATACTTTAGTTTCTAAATTTATTTTAGGAATTATAGCTTCTAAATTTAAGTGTAGAACAGAGCTTAACTATAATGACATATATGAATGATTCTGATTTTGCTTTAGGGCATAGATTGAAATAGATATTAACAGCTACATAATATTTTAGATGGATGTACAAGTCCATAAGAAAACTGAAGTAAGTTGGTCTCAAAATTAGATGAGTTTAATTTTTAACTGTATATTCATCCATTTTACAGTTGAACCTCTGTTTTCTGGAGTTTTCCTATAATTTAAAAAATGTTGCAGAAAAAACTCCTTCTTATATCTTCTGGGACATGTGCATTAGAGTTTCTTTAAGGCAATGGTTCTCAACCTTTGCTATATACAATATTAGTGTGACATAAAGAATCTTTAAAAAATATTGATGTCTGGGCTCCATCCTCAGAGATTCAGAATTAATTGGTCATGAGTTTGCCTAACAGAATAGGGTTTACAAACTTTTCCAGATCCATCTCATGTACCAAAATGGCTGACAGCTTGCTATAACTACTACCTTGTTTCCTCGAAAATAAGACAGTATCTTATTTTAATTTTTTCTCCCAAAGTTGCACTAAATCTTATTTTCAGGGGATGTCTTATTTTCTGAGAAACAAGGTAAGAGTGAAATTGATTGGCTGTAAGATGTGAATATGTCTATTTTTAATGGGCAAAGACAAATTGTCTACAAAAGTAGTTATATATTTTTATTCTTACCATTACTGTAAAGGACTCTTTTGTCAACTTTGTCTTCTTAATTTTCACCACTAAGGTGCTTATAAAGATAACACATTATGATCTTATCTCACAGTTTCTGATTATAATTGAGTTTCATATATTTAAAAGGTTTATAAACTTTCAAGCTACTTTTACTGATAATACTAGTTGCCATAATTTGTCTATTGTTCTATTAGGTAATTTATCACTTTGATATCAAATTTTTTGGACTGGAACCCTAATTCTTTGTCCACTGGAATTGAAAAACGAATCCATGGTCAGAGATAGCAAAGATAGAGATTTATTGAAGAACAAGTACAGACTCCCATGTGGGGAGAGGAAGAGTCCCACTGGATTCTTTTCCCAATACTTTATAAAGTCCGCAGATTCTTGTGCCTGATATCCCCTCTGATTGGTTAATATTCCCCTTTGACTTGGTGAGATTCTCCCTCCTCCTTCCCTCTGGGCTTTCTTCTTTTCCATCTGAATAAAAGACTTCCTTCTCTTTATTTTATAAATATAGATCTTTTTGACTACTTCCAGTTCCCTTGTTTTATGTAATGGAATGTTGCTGCTCCCTTGTCTTATGGAGATGTAATTACACCTGGCTTCCTTGTGTTATTGAGATGTACCTTCTCCTAGTCTGCAACCCCAAGCTTTTCCATGGACCTCAATTCTAAAAAATCCGTAAGCCTGCCTATATTACCCTAAAATTTCTGCTTCAACTTTAAATTGATTCATGGAAATTAATAGATATTCTGAATTTTAATTCATTGTCAATATATGCACATATCTTCTCCAAGTTTGCCGGTTTTGTTTGTGTGTTGTTGTTTTGTAATAAAGAGTCAGACTTCATTTTTGATGTTTTAACATGAAGAGATTTTGAACTATTCCCCTTCTCCTCTCATTTTAAATCTGAGCAAGACAATAAGTGGTGTTTACCCTCCCTTGGTGCTTGCATGAAGTTGAAGCCACTCCCTGGATTCCTTATTCTGGCCCTACATTTTTAGGGACAGTGCAAACAAAAGCCACCAGCTTGCTAGTGTCAAGTCATTCAGACCAGCCTGCATCTGCCTTGCTCTCTCTATAAAGTTCAGTTGTATAAGTAAAACATTATTTCTTAATCCTTTGGTGTATTTAATAATTATATTCTCAATATTTTGTTGAAATTATTAACTATAATTTTTAAAAATTATGTTTTCAAACATACAATCTCATAGATACTGGAGAGTGGTTACAAGAGGGAAAAAGGGGTGTAGAAGAATGAAGAGGATAAAGGCAATTACATTTATGGTGACAAAGAGGATAGACTTGAGTGGTAAGCATACAGTGCAGATGATGTATCAGAATTGTACACCTGAAACATATAATGTTATTAACGTATGTGTGGATGAAAGGAGCCACCTACTAACCTGACAAGCTCAGGGAAGGCCTGTGTGGCAGTCTTGCAAACTCAGATACCTAAAATAACCACAAAAGATGGTATGAACATGAAATATTTAACTACAAACAGGTTAGAGTGTGCAGTCATTCCAAGGCTGATATTTTTCCTGACAAAGATCAACTCAGATCTTTCCTGAGCCCATTTGCCTTTTTGCCTCTAAGATAACATATCCATGAGATGTTTGGGTAACTTGTAACTTCCCTTTTTTCTGGAGACCCTGAGGCACAACCAAATGTGGTGGGCATCAGAACAGATGCCTCAAATTCCTTTGTTATCATGTTGATTATTCCTATACCCTCCTAAGTATGTGTCCATCATTTTACTTTTTACCCAATCTCTGAGGAGGCCCCAGGGCAAGCATCTTCCCAGAGGCTGTGCAGAAGGAGGGGAGGAACCTCTGGCTAGAGGCCAGGTGAGGGATGCGGTGTCTTTGCAGGCCAAGACCAGGCTGAGGGACACCGCCCCACCCCCCCTACAGCCCCATGCATGAATTTTGTGCACTGGGCCTCTAGTATATATATATATATATATATATTAGGATTTCTTTCCTGTAATAACTGTGTTTTTGCAAGTGTTAATTCTTTAGTTTATTCAACTGTATATCTGTATGACATGCATTGGCTTCTTTAGATCCTTGGTAAACTTCTCATATTTATTAATGAAGATTTAAAAGAAAAAGCATTGACAGCTAGAGTAGATATCAGCAGCATAATTAAAATTTCTCCCTATAGTGATGTATTTAGATTATGTTGGTAAAACCTTCATATGGTGATTTGGCAGGGGAGAGGGTTGTGTGCAATTTTCAAATAGTCAGTTTTCTTTAGAATGTTGAGGCAGTTTGCTTTCCAGGTGTGGAGCTATACATACTCCATTTTGTCTAGAATAATTGGGGCCACTGCCTGGTTTTACCTCCAACCCCAACAACTTGTTTAACTGACTTTTGTGTCAAATTGCCACTTTACTGCCCAAAAGGAAAAGCTACTGACAGTAATGCTGATCTCTGCTATAATTCCTTTGCAATTCTTTCATTGTATCCTAGTGACAAAATCCAAATTCTACTTTTACTATTATATTCTGTTCCTAAAAAATTCTAAGAATTTTCTTTTCTTTTTGTTTATACCTCACTATTTTAGGAAGTCATTTTGATCACTGAGAAGTTTCAAGTTTCTTATTTCTTATAAGTTCCTTTTTAATTTTCTTATACCTATTTTATATTCCTAGAAATTCTCCAGCCTTATATCTACCATTGACTCTCATCTCAGTTCTTTATCATGGCCATGGATGCATTTGTATTTTAATGTTCCTTCCTCATTTCAATGAAATGTTAAGGAGGAAAAATCTTGCTTATCTGTGGGGGCCTGCTGGCAGGAATCTCCCTTTTCTGCGTCCTGCACGGAAAGAAAGATGAAAAAACGGGTTCTAAGTGGAGGTGGCCAGGGATTGAGAAATAATAGAAATAAAGAGAGAAGACACAGAGATAGATTTCAAGCTGGGAGCTGGGAGGGCCGCTGACCTCCTCTGCTGGAGAGACAGACTGAGGACCTCCTGAGCCACACAACACATCTATTTATACTCCAATCCAACAAGGGGGTTTCACAGGAAAACAAGGAGCCTGGGGCAGCCCAGCTTCCACTCACTCCTTCCTCCTGAACAAACACAAGCCAGGAACTAAGAACATCCCAGGGCGGGAGAGCAACTGACTTGACTTCACCAATATCCCGGGCCCAGTCAACAACAATCTAAAGAATGTTCAGGTATCTTTCCATTTGGCCCTCTACACTTGTCAGATACCTTAAGTGGTAAACTTTTCCCTTTCCTCTTTTACTTTTCAACTTACTTTGTTTCTCTTTTCATTTGGTTAGTTCTAATCTCATGGTGCTATTCTTAAATTTGATTTTGCTAAATTGGCTCAACTTGAAGAATTTATACATATTAGACTTCATGTAACTATCCTTTGGACATTCTTTTCTCTGTATGACATAATTTTCCTAATCTACAGCTACTGTGTCAGCCATATCATATCTTCTGCATCCAAGTATTGGACAACTTTGCTTTTTGCCCAAGTTTAAACATTTATTCTTATCATTAGAAAAAATTTGATCTTAGTCTTGCAATATTAAATATATGAAGCTCAGTTTTTTAGAATGAATTTGATTTTAAACTTGAAGCAGTACAGCAAAACAACCAAATAATAGACCTGGCTATTGTGAATTTTATACTTATATCTTTTCTCCTACAAAATTCTTCTGATCAAACACAAAATTTTATTTTCTTAACCTTTATAACAATAAACTTCTCTACTTGAATTCGACACATTTTACTCCAATTTTACACATCAAAGATAAGGTTAGTGGTCTAGTGTTGTATTGTACCCAGAATCTCACAGAGGACGCCTCAGGAATTCGAATTATGGAGTCATTTATTAAAGGTCAGCGGTATACGAGGGGCAAAAGTGCTCCAGATCTCACAGAGCTGAAAAGCTGGCCGCATCTGGCTTAGATGGGCAGAATATCAGAAAGGTATCGATTACATCTTTGGGTTTGGAATGAGAAACTTGGTTTGCACAAAGCAGTTACAGAAGCGAAATTGAGCAAGTTAGTTATCTATAAAGATTAAGTATAGTTTTGGGTCTAGGGATCATTATATTGTAGTGTAACCCCCATCTTACAAAGAACGCCTCAAAAAGTCGAATTATGGAGCCATTTATTAAAGGCTGGAGGCATACGAGGGGCTAAAGCTCCAAACCTCGCAGCCCCAAACAGCTTGCCACATCTGGCTTATATTGACAGAATATCACAAAAGCATCGATTACATCTTGGGTCTGGAATGAGGGACCTGTTTCTCGAAAAGCATTTTTACAGAATCAAAATTGAGCAAGTTAGTTATCCAAAGTATCTACGAATCACTGAATCAACAGAAACACATTATCTAGGACCACCTGGGTAATTGAGAATAATTCTACTGTCCATGTTCTGGGACCACTGAATCAACAGAAATGTACTATCTGTAGCTACTGAGGCAATTTAGGATAATTTGTGCTCTTCTGATTCCGGGACCACTGAGTCAAGTGAAACTCAGTTATCTGTAGCTACTGAGAAAATTTAGGATAATTGATCTGTCCTGGGTCCCAGAAGAATGTGCTTTGATGATCAGTGAGATCACAATCAATGGGACATTCAAACCATCATCAATGGAATATTGGGATAGCATATATAAGTTCAGAAAATCAAAATAACTTTCTATTGTTTTATCAAACAAAAAAGTACAGAACTCAAACAGCAGTCTACCTGAGATGATTGCTACCATACTTCATTTGAATCAACAGAAGCACATTCTCTGGGGCCACCGAGACAATTTAGAATAATTGTGCTGTCCAGATTCCAGGACCACTGAGTCAACTAAACTCATTATCTGAGCTACTGAGACAATTTAGGGTAATTGAGCTGTCCTGGTTCCCAGAATAATGTGCTTCAATAACCAGTGAGATCACTATGAATGGGATATTCAAACTACCATCAATGGAGTATTCAATTGATTGGGATAGCATACATAAGTTCAAAAAATCAAAATAACTTTTCTACTGTTTTAGAAAGCAAATAATTACAGAAGCCAAACAGCAGAATTAACGTTAAAGTTAAAGTTAAAACTGTAGTTTCTACCTAAGATGATTGCTACCATACTTCACTAGGAAAGGAAGCAGGAGTGAAGAATTGTCAAGGTCACCCTCATGAGACTCAGACTAAACTTCTAAATTAGGGGAGCTTGGACACAAATCATGTGGTAGTTAAAACCAGGAAATAAAGGAACCACAAAATAGAAATCAGTACTTTCAAATGAGATTAGGAAGCTCACCATACTAATCCATATGAGTAGACAACAAGTGGTCATGGCAAAAACTGTCTTAGTAGTCCTTGGAAGGATAGCTCTTTAATTAGTCATCAAAGGCATACTGTCAATTTCATCAGAATAATGAGATATTATTAAAATAAGTCAAAGAAGAAATTATTCTGGGTGCTGTAGGCTAGTTGCATTAAAAACACCTGAAAAGATTGCTGAGATTCCTAGAACTTTATTGTAGTGTTTTCATTTGGGAGGATGGGGTGGAGATGGCAATGGTGTTCTTGAATCTTCACACAGTCAATGGAAAGAAAAAATTAATAGGATTTTATGTCAGTTATTATGATGCATTTTTAAATCCATTATTGCTCTCCCTAATTCCTCTTACTGATTTAATGCTGTGGGAGTATGTTACAAACTTAATATTTCTGTCTTATTGAATGAATGCCTTAATAATATCTATATTCTAATACCTATGACCACATTTTGGAGATCTGCAATACAATGTTCATAGTTGTAATCACATCTATATATAAACATGTATCATGTAGCACCTTGGAATAAAAGATTTCTTTCTGAATCAGAATACCTTCACCTTACAGTGAAAGTGCACAGTGAAATATTTTTATTAATAGAAACAAACTACAAATAACAATGGTCACAGTAATTTCATGGTGTTTTTTTAGTTAACGACATCGTGTATTTAGTGTATAGAACATTATACCAAAACTTAGAAAACTCATACTTCAAAATATGCTTTACCTATTATCCTCAAAACCTGATTCCCATCTACATTGTCTCTCCCTTTTTCTTTAAAATTATGATACTGATATTACTGAGGGATTATATAGATTAATAATTATTCATCACTTATAAATAAAATATGCAGTATAAAGGAAAAATAGCAATTATATAATAAGTAGGCATGGTTACAATGGCATTTATAAAGGTTAAAGTAGAATAAAACCTTTGGAAATGTGACACATTAAAAATCCATTTTAATAAAATACATATCTCTTAAGAGACTAAATGGAAAAATTCATTATATTAAATCTTAAAATTATTTTTAATATGTTTGGCTTTTGCTGGCTCTTGAATTCAATAATTTTTCACTCCCAAAGGCCTCTATCTAGTTTGTTGCATTTATTAAAATCTATTATTCTTGTTCCATAGATGAGTGATATATTTGTTTACACATTAACATATTCATTTTGTTAGAAAACAGATTTTGATTTTCAAAAGTTCTGTGGGTAAAAGTGACAAATAGTTTTCACAGTAATAATTTTTGTTTTCTTGCAACAGTAGTTTTTTTGTTTGGTAATCTTTCACATGTAAGTGATTTGATTACAGGAGAAAATTAAATATGAAAATGAGGTGAGTAAATTCACTTTTGTATAAATTCAACTATTTCTGGAAAGGTTTCCCATCATATTATTTATGAATTTTAAATATTATTTTGAGATATAATTATTATAGTAAATTTGAAGACTATATATTATTAAGGCAAGAATTATAATTATACTTTCATTACTATTTTGCAACTATAGCTCTGTATAGTTATTATGATGGCATAATTTTCTATTAATATACTTTTAATAATATTATATTTATCTATTATGTGATTATACTAAAATTTACTTTAAAATTTCCATATTGTTGAACTTACAGAATGTTTATATTTAATCATGTACTTTTACATGTATCAGTGTCTGTTGTTTTCTGATAGAAACTTAAGGAAGTCACTATTGTGACATATAGTATTGAACATCGGGGGAGGAAGAGGGATATAGTAATAAAATTTTTCTCTAGACTTTGCATAATTAATTTATACATTCACCAATAAATTAAGACAGCATAAACATCTCAGAAACTACAAAAGTAGAATATTTTAATTTTTTATCGTTATGATTTGGGGAAAAACGCCTCAGTATATATTTTTTCAAATATCTTTGAATATTAGTGAAAATTGGTACATCTTTATGAATTTACATATTGACTTTTCTTAAAGAATAGTTTATTGTATTTAGAGAGGAAGGGAGAAAAGCAAAACATTGATGTGAGAGAATAACATCCATTGGTTGCCTCTCAGAGCCCACAACCTGGGCATATGCCCAGAATGGGAATCAAGCTAGTAAACCTTCATTGCACAGGATGACAACCAACTGAGCCACACTGGCCAGCGCTCATACAATTACTTTTTACATTTTTAAAAAATATATTTTATTGATTTTTTACAGAGAGAAGAGAGAGGGATAGAGAGTTAGAAACATCGATGAGAGAGAATCATCGATCAGCTGCCTCTTGCACACCCCCTACTGGGGATGTACCCGCAACCATGGTACATGCCCTTGACCGGAATCGAACCCGGGACCTTTCAGTCCGCAGGCCGATGCTCTATCCACTGAGCCAAACCGGTTTCGGCTACTTTTTACATTTTTTACATAATACTAAATATTTTCATTTATGTAAAAACTCTTCTAATTGACCCTAAATTATGGGTGCTTGATTTACCATTTGTCTATTTGTTACTACTGTTTAAAAGATCTATTCGATATAAGGTTAACAATACAACTGTAAATTCTGATATTGTACATGCATGTATTTTCTTCAGATTATTGTTTATAGTCAGTTATTAAGATTACTTCTAATTAGTAGAAATTTGAAAAGTTTGGTAGTGAATTTTACATACTTCGTTGATAATTTTGAGTTTACATCATGCTTAGGAATACCTTCATTACTGCAAGATTACATACTTTTATGTTTTAATTATTGAATTTAAGTTTTTACTCCATCTGGAATTAAATTTTATAACTATTTTTTCTATATGACTATTCAAGTATTCCAAAACTTTGTAAGGTTCCTTTCTATTAAGTTATGTTTTTATTTTTTAACAATCATGATAACAAGAACTTCATAAAGATATTCTAAACCTTAGAATATTTCTAGAATCTAAATTATTTTATTGATATTTTTGCCTATACCTGCTATAGTACTAAGCCTCATAAAATAAAGCACTGGAAAAGTCACCAACGTTGGTGGCTCAGATTCTCATTCAATTTCCACCCAATGAAAACAAAGCTGAACCCAATAATGTTTCTGTTCAAGGATATACAACTACACTGTAATATCTATACTCTTCATAATATTTTTCTTCTTTTTCATTCACTGGTAGTCCTGATAATGGTAGCTTTATGTTTGTTTCTAATCTCCCAATTCAAGCCAAATGATTGCATATACTTTTTAGAGGTGCTGACATCTTTCCATTTATCATATATTTGATTACACAAATAAGATTTGAAAATATAACCAAATATATTGTTCTAAGTACACCACTCATTCTAACATGAGCTTCCAAATTTACTTAATTTTCCAATGTTTTGCAGTTATTATTTTTTTTTCTATTCTCATTGTTCTGTCTCATTTTCATCACAATTATAATATAACCACTTTTTCAATTTCTAAAAATAACAATTTCTAAAAAACAACTCCTTTAACTCGTATTCAATTGTAGCTGCAGTTTCATGTCTACACTCATTTTAAAAAATGTTTTGTCTGTAGTCACTATTTTTTAATGTTTTAATATATCTTTATTGATTTCAGAGAGGAAGGGAGAGGAAGAGAGAAACATCAATGACAAGAGAGAATCATTGATCTGCTGCCTCCTGCATTCACCCTCTGGGGATCAAACCTGCAACCCAGCATGTACCTTTGACTAGAATTAAAACTGGGGCCTTTAGTCCCCGGCAGATGCTCTATCCCCTGAGTCAAACCTGTTAGGGCTATAGTCACTCTTTATACCTCCACACTTCAAG